CTTCCTACAAAAGTGCATCACCTTCTCTGCATTGAACTTCATTAGCCTCACTCCACCACTTGCCGGTACCCTTTTGAAGTTCCACACTGTCCTCCTCACAGTTTACAGTTCTTCCAAATTTTGTGTCATCTACAAACTTGGAAATCGTCCCCTGCACAGCGAGATCCAGATCATTGTGATATATCAGGAAAGGTAAGGGGCCCAACACTGATCACTGTGGAACTCCACTACAAACTTTCCTCTGGCCTGGAAAATATCCATTGACCATCCTTTCATGTCATTCCGCCAATTTTGTATCCATGTTGCTACAACCCTTTTTATCCCATGATCTATAACTTTCCTCATGAGTCTGCTATGTGACACCTTCTGGAAATCCACGTGTATCACCTCAGCAGCTTTACACTCAGCAACCCTTTCTGTTGTGTCTTCAAAAAACTCCAGCAAGATGATTAAATGTGACTTGCCCTTTAGAAATCCATGCTGACTCTTCCTAATAAACCCAACTTTTTCTTTGTAATTACTAATTTTATCAAGAATGGATATCTCCAGAAGCTTTCCCATCACTAAAGTTAAACTGACTGGTCTGTAATTACTGGGTTTATCCTTACAGACTTTCTTGAAAAGGTCCCTAATGTTTCCAATTCTCTAGTCTTCTGGCACTTTCCTGAGTCCAGGGAAGACTGAAAATCTATGGTCAGTGCCCTCACAATTTCTACCCTACCTTCCTTCAAAATCCAAGGATGTATCATGTTCAAACAGCTCTTTCCACAGTGCTTGCCATATGTATCAGGTGACTTGCATTTTAAAACATGCAGCTGTCCTTTAAAACAGTTCTTTCCATTCAGTCCACAATTTTAAAAAACAGGCAAAAAAAGTATGGTCTTTACAGTATGCACCTTGGGCAGACTTCAGGAGCCATGTTAAGATAAAATGGAATAATGATCTACGTATCTATTGTAGCTTCCAGTATAATAAAAAAAGACACCAATTCATGAAAACACATTCATCATAATATTAAACAGATCTATGGTTATGATCCCTCTTCAAAAACAGCTAATCCTTTAATAGGGCCTTTGTCAGTCAAACCGAACTAACATATTGCTTGCTATGATAATTCTAGGTTTGTGGAAATCACACAATGATTAATGATAAAAGGACAATTCCTGAAGATTTGGCGACAAACAACCCTTATAATTAGAGTAAGAGAGATCACAGCACAGAAAAAGTCCCTTCGGCTCATTTTGTCTGCACTGATCAGTAACAACCACCTAAATATTCTAATTCTATTTTCCAGTATTTGATCCTTTGCACCGCAAGTGCACATCTTGATGTGAAAGGGTTTGTCCCTCTACCAGCCTTAGAGGCAGAAAGTTTCAGATTCCTACCCCCTCAGTGTGTAAAAGATTTTCCTCACATCCCCTGTAAACCTTCTGCCCCTTAGCCAAAATCTATGCTCCCTACTGAACCCTCCATCAAAGGGAAAAGTTTCTTCCTGTCTCGCCAATCTATGCCCCTCATAATTTTAGACATCTCAATCATGTCTCCTCTCAATCTCCTCTGCTCCAAGGAAAACAATCCCAGTCTATTCATAACTGAAACTCTCCAGCCCAGGCAACATCTTGGTAAATCTCCTTTGCACTGTCTCCAGTGCTATTGCATCCCTCTATAATGTGAATTCCAGAAATGTACACAATGTACACTTTAGCTGATATCTAACCAATGTTTTAAACTGTTCCAGCATAACATCTCTGCTCTTAAACTCTATGCCTTGACTAATAAAGGAAAGTATACCATATGCAAAGAACATAGAACAGCACAGTCCAGGCCCTTTGGCCCACAATGATGTGCCGACCTATTATCCTACTCTAAGATCAAACTACCCTGCATACCCTACATTTTACTATCATCCATGTGCCTATCCAAGAGTCACTTAAATGTCCCTAATGTATCTATTTATCCACCTTTCCCAATTCCTTGAGGGATGGGTGTACATACACACCAAGGTCCCTCTGATCCTCAGTGCTTTCCAGGGTCCTACCATTCATCATTTATTCCCTTACCTTGTTTGTCCTGCTTAAACACATCACCCCACATTTATCTGGATTGAATCCCATTTGCATTGTGCAGCCCATCCGATCAGCCCGTTTATATCGTTCTGTAATCTAAGGCTGCCCTGCTCACTATTTACCACCCCACCAATCTTTCCATCATTGGAAACTTACCGATCAACCCTCTTACACTCAAGTGTAAATCATTTATGTAAACTACAAACCACAAGGGCTCCAACTCTGATCCCTGCAGGACCTCACTGACCACAGACTTCCAGTTGGAAAGACACCCCTCAACCATCAGCCTCTGCTTCCTGCCACTCAGCCAGTTGTGGATCTAATTTGCCAAATTTCCTTTCATCCCATGGACTCTTACTTTTGTGCTCAGTGTCCCATGCAGGACCTTATCAAAAGCCCTGCTGAAATATAAGTAGACGACATCAAAGGTATTGTCCTTATCCACGTACCTGGTCACTTCTTCGAAAAATTCAATCAAGTTGGTCAGTCATGATCCCCCGTACAAAAACCATGTTGACTGTCCTTGATTAATCCCTGCTTCTTCAAATGCAGGTTCATTCTGTCCCTCAGATTTGCTTCCAATAGTTATCCTGCCATCAAGGTTAGTTTCCTGGTTTACCCCTTATTCCCTTCTTGAATAACAGCCACATTGGCTGGCCTCAGGCATCTCTCCTGTAGCCAGAAAGGAATTGAACATTTTTGCAAGTGGCCCTCTATTTCTCCGTTGCCACGCCCAACAACCTGGGATACGTTTCATCCCTCTCTGGAAATTTATTTTTAAGCCTGCCAGATCTCTCAGAACCTCCTCTCTGTTGATGCTAATTTCTTTAGCTTATCACAGACCTTCTCCCTGAATTCTATGCCCATATCGATCTTCTCACTAGTGAGCACCAAAAGTATTCATTTAGAATCTTCTGGTTCCATGCACAAATTACCACTGTGGTCTTTAATGGATCCTACAGTTTCCCTCATTATCCTTTTGCCCTTAATGTACCTGTAAACAACTTTGGATTTTCCTTTATTTTACCTATTAGTATCCTTTCATACACCATTTTCGTTCTCCTAATCACCCCTTTAAGTAACTTCTTGCAAATTCTATACTCTTTCAGGGTTTCTGCTGTTTTAAGCCTTCGGTATCTGCCATAAGCCTCTCATCTTCTCTTAATTCAATGCTGTATCTCCCATGATGACTTGGGTCCACAAAAATTGTCATACTCTTTTTCTTTATTAGAACATGTTGATCCTGTACTGTCCATATTTTCTTCTGAAATTCATTGCCCCGTTTTGAGACAGATTTATCTGGAAGTATCTGCTACCAGTCCATTCTGGCCAAAACATATCTGATCTTATTAAAATCAACCTTCCCCCAGTTGCAAACTTTGATTTCAGACCCATCCTTCTCCTTTTCCAAACAACCTTGAATCTAATGGGGTTCTGATAGCTGAGTGCAAAATGCTCGCCCACTAATTCTTCAACCACTTAACCAGATATGTTGAGTTAAAATTAAGCCCAGGACTACCCCTTCTCCTTGAAGATCTTCCACATACGGGCTGAAGAAAGCTGTCCTGGATACATTTTAAAAATTTCACTCCCTCAAACCTTTCAGACTGACCATCCCAGTTAACGTTGGGCCAATTGAAAATGGAAGCATGTTTAATCTGTTGTGTCAAATGAAGACTTCCAAGGTCATTAATTTTGCCTTCAGTTTAGTTGAGAGAGACTAAGTTCAGAAGCAAGTTAACAGTTTAATTCAGAAAACATAAAACCAGGAATAAAAGAAGCTTCAGTTTCTCTCTGAGCCGAGGTTCAAGGATATTCAGAGAAGCCAGTAGAAGGGTATAATTGAAGATTGCAGAGGCAGTGGATAGAATTCTGCAGTTATTAGAATCGAGTAAAGGACTTTGACAGGAAGCATTGAATTGTCCCTACAGTCTATGGGAAAGAAACCAGAAAGAATCATTTAAGTAGAAACTTGGAGTTGAGATAGGAGCATAATTTCTCTGGGCTTGGGTTTCTGTAATGGATGGTGTTGGGAAACAGGTTGAAACTTTACATAGGCATTTGTGTTAAGATCTTTTACATTTGGAGAGAGAGAGAGACAGAGCTTGGTTTGCTTATTATTTTCTTTTGTGTAAGGAACTCATGTTTTCTCTTGTGTTGTTAAGGAACATCAGCTTCAAATTCAGTGACTAACGGGTGGCACAGTGGCTCACTGGTTAGCACTGCTGCCTCACAGCGCCAGGGACCCTCGGGCAACTGTCTGTGCCGAGTTTGCACGTTCTCCTCGTGTCTGCGTGGATTTCCTCCCACAGTCCAAAGATGTGCAGGCTAGGTGGATTGGCCATGCTAAATTGGCCATAATGTTCAGGGATATGTAGATTATGTGGGTTATAGGGGGATGGGTCTGAGTGGGATGCTCGGAGGGTCGGTGTGGACTTGTTGGGCTGAAGGGCCTGTTTCCACACTGTAGGTATTCTATGATATGAACAACAGATTAACAACCAAAGAAGGACTAAAAATGCGATCGATCGAGCCAATATCAACTTCTGCGATTTGACTTGTCCAGTAGTAACATTAGCTGGGATTGTAACAAAAGCTCAAGTGACCTTGCTGAGTTTGGGCTTTGATCATATGGAAATCATGCCCCCAGAATGCCAAAAATGGAATCTGTCAGAAATGGAGGCAGAACTTAGTGGATCAGGTCCCGTCAACTAAATTTTAAAGGCATTCAATGCTTTGGCAACTCTGAAAATCTGGCCCCTTCTCACTGAAGGGGTCTGTGTATATGCCTGTTTGCCTCTCTTTCTCAGTGTCTTTGCCTGTGTGTGTGTGTGTGTGTGTGTGTGTGTGTGTGAGAGAGAGAGAGAGAGACAGTGTGTGACTGTCCCTGCCCAGTCTACCTACTGAAGCTTGGTTTCTGCTCCCTCTCCTTAGCTATATATGCTGAAGGCACACAGTTTAAGTGAGACAATCTATCGAGTGAAGGGCTCCCAGCGGCTTCTGCGAGAACATGTTGTTAAATTCCATGAATGCATGGAAGATATGGAGTTGTACTGCGGGATGTGTGGAGATTCCATTGGAGATAAGAACTCACAGCTCCAGGCACTGCCATGCTCCCATCTTTTCCACCTAAAGTAAGTCTCAGACCTAGAAGAACAAAAAAATGAAAACCACTAGTAAGTTGCAGAGCAATGCCATGTAATGTGGAGATCACGTCTTAGACACTAGAGCATAAAGTATATATTTCAGTGCAGGACTGAGGGAGTGCTGCACTGTCGGAGGGTCAGTACTGAGGGAGTGCTGCACTGTCATAGGGTCAGTACTGAGGGAGCGCTGCATTGTCGGAGGGTCAGTACTGAAGGAGTGCTACACTGTTGGTGGGTCAGTACTGAGGGAGTGCTGCATTGTCGGGAGGTCAGTACTGAGGGAGTGCTGCACTGTCGGAGGTTCAGTGCTGAGGCAGTGCCGCATTGTCAGACGGTCTGTACTGAGGGTGTGCCACATTGTCAGAGCGTCATAACTGAGGGAGCGCTGCACTGTCGGAGGGTCAGTACTGAGGGAGTACTGCATTGTCAGAGCATCAGTACTGAGGAAGTGCTACACTATTAGTTGGTCACTACTGAGGAAGTTCCACGCTGTTGGAAGGTCATTACTGAGGGAGCACCGGACTGTCAGAGTGTTAGTGCTGAGGGAGTGCCGCATATCAGAGAATTAGTATTCAGCAAATACTACACTGAGCAATGCTCTCTCTGTCTTTGTTTAAGTCTCTCTTTCTCTCTCTCTGTATCCCTGTCCTTCTTTCCATTTTTCTCTCTCTGTTTCTCGGAAGCTTTTGCCCTCATAGATTCATAGTTTCGTACAGCACAGGAAAGACTCTTCAGCCCATCAAGTCTACACTGACACAGCTATCACTAAAAGTGTGCTAATCCCAATTTTCTACACTTGTCCAATTATCTTTAATGTTATGATATTTGAAGTGCTCATCCAAATATTTTTAAGGTTGTAAGGTTTCCAGCCTCCACTACCTTCGCAAGCAGTGTATTCCAGATTTCCACCACCTGCTGAACGAAAGGGTTTTTTTATCCCCAAATCCCCTCTGAATCTCCTGCCTCTTACCCTAAAACTATAAGACCATAAGACATAGGAGCAGAAATTAGGCCATTCAGCCCATTGAGTCTGCTCCACCATTCAATCATGGCTGATAAGTTTCTCAACCCCAATCGCTTTCTCCCCATAACCCTTGATCCCCTTGACAATCAAGAACTAGCTATCTCAGTCTTAACTATACTCAATGAACTGACCTCCACAGCCTTCTGTGGCAGTGAATTCCATAGATTCACTACTCTCTAGCTGAAGAAGTTTCTCCTTATCTCCGATCTAAAAGGTCTTCCCTTTACTCTAAGGCTGTGCCCTCGGGTCCTAGTCTCTATTCCGTCTCATGATTGACCCCTCAACTGAGGGGAACATCTGCTCTCTATTCACCCTGTCAATACTTTCATGATCTTATACACCTCAATCCCCCCTCAGTCTTCTCTGCTCTAAGCAAAACAATCCAAGCCTATGTAGTCTTTTCTTTGTAGCTCAATTTCTCCATCCCAGGCAACATCCTGGTGAACCTCCTCTATACCTCTCCAGCGCTATCACATCCTTTCTGTGGCCTGACCAATGCTCTGTATAACTCCAATATCACCTCCTTGCTCTTATACTCCAAGATACAACTGATGAAAACAGTCTGTTTTTCTTTCTTTTTCTGTCAGACTCGGTCTCTCTCCTTCTCTCTATCTTTCTCTCTCTGTATTTCAATCACTCTATCTCCTCCTCTATTAGTATTTGTGTCTCTGTTTCCCTTCTCTCCCCTGTCTCTGTGTTGCTGTGCCTGTTTCCCTATCTTCCTGTCTGTTTCTATCTCTCTTCATTTTTGCCTTCTCTCTCTTTCTCTCTCTGCCTGTCTCTTCTCTCTCCGTGCCTTTGCCTCCATCTGTCTCTGTTTCTCTCTTTCTCTGTTCCTTTCTCTTTTTGTGACAGGCTCTCTGTCGCACTCTATCTGTTTCTGTGCCTCTCCATCTCTCTCACTTCTCTCTGTCTCTCTCCCACCC